TGTTGTTGTTTGACAAAAGAAGTTGCGTCGTTTTACTTTTCTGTTTAGGATTGTCTTATTTGATAATCTGAAATAACGTGTATCTATTTTACCATTTGACCATTCGTTGATATAACAAAACACTACTTATCATCTCTTAAAGAATCTAAAACTGAACAGTTTAGTTACGCATAAAACCCTGAACTCTGAAACATGAAATTGCTATTGCACTGCCAAAAAACCCAAAATAAATCCATGAAGGGGATGTGAAACAAATGAACAGGTGGTGATTGTGTCTCATCGATCACAGCTAACTGTAAAAGATCAGAATAAAGAGGATGCAGAATGCATGGGAGTTCCACTTTTGAAACAAATAGCAGAATACTACACAAGTAAAAATACACTTCATAGACAGTATTACTTACTAATATATAAGTAGCATGAAACTGAAGGCATAAGAGAGTTCAAAGGCAGAAATGTAGCTACAAAATAGACGACAATTGATGAAAGATATAAAAGTAGATCTGACATGCTATGTATTTTTTTGTATTTATTGGATACTCAGCATTATTAAGTGTCCTAATTTAATCATAAAAAGCTACTTTTCACGGTCGGTTTTCATTTGGTTTTCGGTCTCATTCTTCCTACCTTTCGGAGTCTCAGCTACGTTTCTATCCACCAAGGTACTTGAGTTAATTCTGATACCATTCAGTAAAATACTTTTACCCTGAGTGACATCACATTTTTGGTGACTGCGTAATATATGTTTGAGCAATATTGGAAGTCCTGCTATTTAAGAATTTTGTTTTAGGTAAAGCATCTTAGAACTTCATACATAAGTGTCTTGTTTCAAGTGAATACACTTTGTAACAACTCAGAAAAATAACCAAGAAAATTAAACTGGACTACAAGTCAAGGAGGAATAAATAAGAAGATAGTAATCAGTTCTTTATGAGTCTAAGGGAGTTCAAGTGTGACTACACTTAAATCATTGTGATTGATTTTGAAGTGTGTTACTTAGGCTATCCAACTATTGTTTAGAAACATATTCCTTATTTTATTCATTGTATATACTATGAAATCTGTAGCCTTTTGCTAAGGCTTCATATCTTTTCAAATTCTTAGATGTTGAGTTAGACGTAAGTGCTTTGACGGTTGAAGCTCGTCGTCAATTGGCCAAATCAGCTGCCACGTTTGGTTTGCACCCTACTGATTTTGTACGTCTTTTGGATGCAGACCAACAATTAGAAACTGAGCTACGTCTAGCCAAAGCTTTGGAGGAAGAGAAATTACAATTATCTGTGAGTTTTAAAAAAAGTCTCTTAACGATGATGTCAGTATGTAGAAGCTGAGAAGCAACTGGATTCACTATGATGTATACGTGTCTGCTTATGGCATACTTCATTCTTCTACAATAAATTCATCATCATCATCATTATCAACATAGGACCAGGCATTACTGCGTAACGGTCCGAGTTGCCACACCTCATATCAGCACATCAAGTAAAAAGGTAGTGAGGTGAAGGATGAAGATAAGTGAATGCAGTCAAAAGAAATATAAAGTACGAGAAGAAAGGAAAGAGGAGTGACAAAATAGTGAGATTCGGTATAGCGTTGTTAAGATGAGGATAATGTGTGTATACATCTGCGCCACTGACTTCGGTTCTGAGCCATATCACCTAGGGTCTCCAACCACTGGTTCCTCTTGTCCCGTGGACCCCAACCACCTAGTCTGCATCGTCCTACATGGCTTAAACCAACAGTCAGAGACTTCATACATTGGTGCCATGTTTTAGTCTGGCCACCTCGGGCCTTTTTCCAGCCTGAACCCACCTCAGCCAACATTGTGTGACGAGGCAATCGGTGACTAGGCATACGTAGTACGTGTCCCAACCATCTCAGTCGATGAAGGTTCACAACCTCGTCGACTGACTTACCTCTTCTCCCTAAAACTCTACACCTAACTTCTGCATTACTCACATGGTGACACCACGGAATACGTCCTATACTACGAAGGCAACGGTGGTCAAATACCTGTAACCTTCTCATGTCTTCCACTTTCAATGGCCATGTTTCACAGCCATACAGTAGAACAGAGCGGACTGCTGTGCAGTACACGCGACCCTTAATAGACAAACGAATATCACGGCGGCGCCATAGGTGGCGCAAATTGGCAAAAGCCAATCGAGCCTTTTGTATCCGTGCAGAAATCTCATCGGCAACTAACCCACCGGGTTGATCCTACTTCCCAGGTAAGTGAAGTGGTCAACACACTCAACCACTTCACTCTCTATTGTTAACCGCGGTACCGCTGAAGACCAGTCCTGGAGCAAAAATTTGCATTTGGGTGGTGAAAATCGCATCCCAAACATTCTCAAATTCCCACTCAAAGTGTTCAGAAGACTCTGCATCTTGTCAGCGTCTTCACCTAACAGGACTATGTCATCTGCATATTCTAGATCTAAGGAAAATTCACCTGTGATCCGGTCAACGTCTTTGTAATTAGGTGACGAGAGGGAAACCTCCATAAGAATATCTATGATAAAATTAAATAAGAATGGGGATAGTGGGCATCCTTGACGGACACCACTTGATGAGTATAGCTCCCTGGACAACTCACCATAGGCTCTAACATGCCCACAAGTGTTCGAGTAGAGAGCTTTCAATAAGGTGATGTACTTACTAGGCACGCCTTTCAGTGACAGACACTGCCATAAGACTTCTCGATCAACGGAGTCAAATGCCGCCTTCAGGTCGAGAAATACAGCTATTGTCGGGCGTCTGTAAGCATGCCTATGTTCCAGGACCTGGCGCAGTGTGAATATTTGGTCGATACATCCACGGCCAGGTCTAAAGCCTGCCTGGTTTTCTCGGGCTTGCTGTTCCCGAGCTCCACTCAGGCGTCGGAGAATTATAGAACTTAGGATCTTAGACACTATGTTTGTCAGGCTGATTCCTCTGTGGTTATCACAAGAGGACTTCTCGCCTTTCTTGAAGACTGGGATGATCAGTGACTTAGACCAGTCGGAGGGGATCGTATTTGATTCCCATATACTGGCTAACACTTCCGTTAGCCTGACTAAGAGAACTCTACCACCATTCTTGTATACCTCAGCAGGTAGTCCGTCTGGTCCTGCTGCCCTTCCCCGTTTCAGGCTACCTACCGCTTTCTCAACTTCTTCTAGTGTTGGGGGACCTGTCTCTATGTCCCATTCAGGGTCCGACTGGATAGCGGGCAGCGCAATGGTGGCTGGAGGCCAGTTAAACTGTTCCTCAAAGTGTTCTGCCCATCGTCCCAGTCGCCTTCCCTGCGAGTGAATCGCCGATCCGTCCTTCTCCGCTATAACCTCACTAACTGTTGTTGACCATTTCCCCCCAGTCTCCTTAATAAGTCTAAATAACTGTCTACTGTTACCGATCGCCGCTGCCTTTTCCATCTCTTTAGCCTTTGCTGCCCACCACTGTTCACGATCGTTGCGCAGACTTTTCGTCAGTTTATTTTTAAGTTGCGCTCGCTCTTCATTGTACTCAGAGCCTGCAGGGATGCATTCACGTGCATCCATTAGTTTGGAAGAAGCTGCTGATATCCACTGGCTCTTTTTAGCCATTATCTTGGAGTCGGCTACAGTCTCCAGTGCTGCTTTTACAGTAGACTGAAGATGGCACCAAGCTTCTTCTGGATGAGTGACAGTCTTTTGTTCCGATAACTGCCTAGCCAACTTCTCACTGAACACGGCTTTGGTGTTTTCGTTGTCCAGCAGAACTCGTAGTGGTTTTGTTGCCAAATTTTTTCTACGTCCATTGAGACGCAGGCATATACGTGCTCGGACCAACGCATGATCGCTGTCCAAACACGTACTCCAGAAGGAGCGGCAGTCTTCCACCGATCCTCTCCAGCGATGACTAATAGCAATGTGGTCTATCTGTGTCCATCGCTGAGTCGAGCTCGGTGGACGCCAGGTCAGACAGTGCCTTTCTTTATGTCTGAAATTTGTGCTGGCTAAAAATAGGCGGTTATCTGAGCATAGTTGTAATAGGCGATCACCGTTATCTGTACGTTCAGCTGGGATTCCGAAAGTGCCACCTAAGTGCCTTTCTGCCTCACTCAGTCTACCCACCTGTGCGTTGAGGTCACCTGCAACAACCACTACGTCCGAACGTTTGGCTTTCGAGAGGAGGTTAGACAGTTTATGGTAGAACTCGTCCTTCACTTCATCCGAACTACAGTCAGTGGGTGCGTAAGCAGAGATTACAAAGAGACAACGGCGAGTCTCACTATTCCTTTTAGTTCTCACTGTGCCGTTCAGCCTCATAGCGCAGAGGCGACTATCAACTGGGATCCAGTCTAGTAGTGAGTTTTCTGCCCTGGTGCTTAATGCTATACCTACACCTGCAAGACCACGAGAGCTAGCTATCGAATCTCCAGAAACTCGAAGGGTGAATTTTGCAGATTCACCAGATTGGTCAGGAGAGGTCAGGTGAATAACCACACTTGGGTCCTGTATGCGTGTCTCACAAACACAGCACACATCCATGCCCCGAGTTGCTAGAGTCTTTGCCAACGAAGCCTGTTGGCCAATTTGACGGAGGGTGCGGACATTGAAGGCTCCAATATGTAATTTGGAGCGTGGTTTAAGGAGACCAGGGACGCTGTTCTGTGGACTCAGATCGTTGTCGAAGGCTGCAGAGGTAGGAGAAATTGAAGATGATGCAGCATCATTAATTAAGAGACGTGAAGGAAGATTAGAAGGTAATGATGGAGGAGGAGGATAGCAGTCAGAAGAAACTTGGGTGCTGACAGAGTTGTGAGGGCGGTTGACACTTCCCGGCTGCCCACACCGTGGAAGGCTATTTCTTCTTAAGGTACCTGAAAGAGATTTGTGTGACCGCAGAGCCCATCGGACATCTGCTTGAGGCCTGTCACACCCAGCCTTTTGAGTATGATTATTTTGAATTTTTGTATTTTTGGGGCCGGATGAGCGAAAGGAAACGACAAGTGAACCAACACCGCCGGCCCGGCAGACCGTGGGGCGTGGTGGAGTGTGTTATTTTTGGGGCCGACCTTTTCTAACCCCCCCTTCCACTGAGAAGGCAGCATCAGCTTGGCACTGCTGGTCATCCAAGGGAAACACCTTACTGCTGTCACACCCCATCCAGCTAGCAGCAGTACGACTTCGCCCTCAGACCCCCATCATAGTGTAGCAATTTACACTATGACGGTAACTGCTTTTCGTCTAACCACTACCCAACAGACCTTTCTGGTATGGTAGGACCTCGAGGGAACAAGCGTTCCACCAGCATAGCTCGTTGGGTCATTGTGATATGCAAGCCCGACCACCACGTCAAGGTAGCAGCTATCGGTCGGGCCACAATAAATTAATATTCATCGGTTTACTTTAATCGTAAGGTATGCGTAAGGGAGACGCAAATTAATACTTACGTTTTATGGTAAATTATGCCTATTGAATCTGTATGCGAAAGCCGTTCGACCTTGATCTATGCTGTTGTAGTTACTGAGGTGTTACCCTATTTATATTCCGATAGTTGATGGTTGTTCATGAAACTGACATACTTTATGTTAGTTTAACGTTCTTAATAGAGGTTATTCCTTATCATGTCGAAGTATGGACACTAGTTCAGCAATAATCTACCACTCAGTAGATTTTTCTTAAATAGTGAGGTAAGTGCAAATGTTTCATCACTAAAGTTAACATCTCTTGCTGCCTCACCATTTTTAGTCTGCGTGAACTAAAGTTAATATTCATCCTAATTTATGAGTCTAACGAATAAAACTTTATGATTTTCACAATCTTAAGCAGATACTTCCTGCTAATTTTTTGTCTATTTCCTGGCCAAATAAAACTACTCTTAAGAAATTTCAGATTCTGTTATTAACAGTTTGTATTCATTTTCACTATTTAACTAACCATTGATATGTAATGATAGATATCTCTCAACAATAATGTACGCGTTCGTGAATTTGATAATAAATCACACTTATTGCATGATAAATATAGTGTTATCTAACTGCTTAAACCTCAGTATGCAGGGCGGGATTCGAACATTTGACACTTGTTAAAAGTTGATTGGCTAAATCAGTATGGTATATCTCCACTCGCTGAAAAATTTAGTATTCTGTCTATTTTTGTTTCTTCAACAGATATCTTAAGAGTAGGATTGATGATGAATGTGCATCCGTTTTAGGGATTTTGTAAAATATACCTTTTAGGTAGGAGGAATAAGTCAAATTGATTCCTTTATGATAGTTGTTTTTTAAGCTAAGATTCATTTTACATTTTACAATTTAGTTGTCACTTTCATGAATTTGCTCGAAAAACAAGCCTTTTTAGATTCTTTCTCAGTTTATATTATTCTAATCCAAAAGCAGACTATAATTCTTTTAAGTGTATGCTTTGTAACACTGCAATTTCATGCATGTTTGTACACGGAACTCGGAACTATACATATCCTATGATGGCTAGTTGCAGTAGATAGAATGGTTCAAATGCATAACACGAGTTGAAGGTCTAATGTTTAAACCAATGGATCTCAACCACTTTTTTTTCGTTGTTACTATTATTCGGTTCCTATTCTCACGTAAAAAGGCGTAATGTAGTGATCATATATAGCCTTATTGAGACTTCTCGAAATGTTACTGAAATGTGATTATGTTATCTGAGCTTAAGTTTTGTAGGTAAGCACGCATTTCGCTGAGTCATAGTTAAATAATTCATAATGCTATTTTGGATCGCAGTATTTGCTAACGCTGCATAACATTTTTATATGCATTTTGTCCTACAGTTGGTAACTACTATATGCGCTGTCTAGTTGGGAACTCTTTTCTATGTAGTAGTTTGGTATCCTCAACAGTTAAGGATTTGTGTTCAGGGTCATGAACGGATGCGTATGCTTGTACTGGAGCATCACGTAATGTGTAACTCAGTTGTTTCAATGGGATTGGTACTTTCATATCTTTATTAATAATTCCTTAAAATATACTGTATGCATTTTTTGTCACTGATTGAGTTGTTTCTATGATTCTTCTTCTCTCTTACCTCAATGCACAGGGTCGTAAATCTCGACGTTCTAGACGTTTACTGAGAGAACGTCGAGCTCAAGAAAAATTCCCTCAACTACTGACTACAAAGTGCGTGAGTAAATACGTGATTGCGTAGATAAATATCTACCATACTACTGTATTCTTCATTTTATTATCCACGCTAAGAGGATTGGTCTGCTGAATATGTGTTGTCATTTCAACATTTCAGCGTATGCATAATCTGTCCACTAAAAATTATTGAATGGTTAGTGGCTATCTATGATTTCGGACTATTGTAGCCTATCATGGTGTTTTCAGTGCAGAGAAAAGGAGTAATGATGTGTGAACACCTTGAACTATATCTGTTGCATTTAAGAAGAATGGAAAAGAGTGTATTTTTTCATACTAACCAACTGATTTCCTAGTCAACCCTTTGCGTAGTCTCAAAACTAAACAAGTACAAAATGATCCGTTTTTAGCTTATGTTGTAGATTGTTCTACATGCAGCGGACGATCGTACTGCATTGCAGTCGGTTTGCTGAGATATATGAGCAAGGTTTATGGCGTGAGGCTTTATGATAGCTCTTACTTATTCGTGCTAAAGTAGATTGAACAAGATTTGAACTCACCACTCAGTTCTCTAAGCTGAGACCATATACAGACGTCTTATTCGACCAATACAAAGTGTAAGCTTTTTGCAAGATCATTAAAGTAAGAGTAAAGTGACTAACCGATCATGCTATAACAATATAATGTGCAGTGATTTAGCTATTAGTATTGTAAAAAAATAAACTGAGCAATTGTACTTTTCATCTATGCTTATATGATTTATTCATAGTTGACTGTAAGAACAGATTATCATTTAGAAGTTCACTAGATAAGTTCATCTAGCAAACAGTAGAAATTATTACGTATCTGTCATTAGTTCTGGCCTGGAATATTATAATGTGATTTCTAAGCTAAATGAATTAACACTATGTTGTCCTGTTTTTTGGGTATTGAACAGTTGAATTCAATACTGCATGAGGTTTCTTTCCGATTACTTGTAGCACCATAGCACCGAAGAGACAGTATATGTGCTTTACTAATGAATTACTACTCAAAGTTGTGAGATTACACATCAGAACATTTGAAAACCAAGCTTAATTCATAGGAGTGTTGATATTGCTTGTATTAGTCGAAATCCGTGTGGTAACTGCAGATGAAGTTATTGTTTTCATTGTTCCCGGCATTACTGTTGTATAATCTCTACAATTAACATATGCACATGTAATCAGTCCTTGTATTTCTTATCTGTTTGTCATAGCTATGCTTACATTGCTCAATCACTTTTAGCTAACATCCCGTGTATTCTTTCAGGTTCACATTTCTTACATCACATCACATTTTGCATACTTGGGCACTATGCGATAAGTCACACCTAATGTGTAGAGAGAGCTAATAATACTACCTGGCTGCCCAAACTTCGGTAGGTGGAATGGTGTTTAGACCTGCAACAAACTGGTTGAAAGTCAACCTCGCAAGCCAATGATTCATAACTTCACTCTTCCAAGTTCTGAGAAAAGCGAATGGCGATGTCGTGTTATTTTGCTAATATCACGTAAAGGTTTGGTATATCGATGTTCTGTTTCTCATGTACTGACATCATTACAACAAATAGCACTTAGTTTAACGGTGTACATAGTTAAACATGTCGTTAACATGGGATTGTGTGTCACATTTATTAAGTATACCATTTTAACCATATGTTAAACATGTTTTCCGAAGGGTAATCTTCCAACTGAAAACTTGGTCAAGTAGCAGTCGATGTCCATCACGTTTTACAGATTATTGTTCATTCATTCAAACATACGATTTTCAACCAGTTTGCATAATGATCCGCTTATCAAGGTTCAACCAACTAAATCTTTTACTTAGCCTTAACACAAAAGATATGATTCATATCATGAATCGAGACCATTTAAAATAGGTGTTTCAGTGAAATACCAAGGCTATCTTATTCAATGCAACTTCAGAAGTTGATACCCGCCTTGTTATTGAAACAAACGCTACAACCAACACACTCAGAGGACAAATGGATAAGTATATTTTCTAAACTAGAAACGCTCATTGATATATCACACTTTTTGTATTTAATTCAATGTCGAATTTTCTGTTTTAGAATGTGTGATGTGTGTTTCTACTTCATGTAGATTGTTTATTTCCATTTTCCTTTTTCGATTTTTATTATGAACAGAATTGGTCTTTTGAATGGTCAACCTATATCCAGGCAAGTATTTTCAATAGTAATAATAATAACTTCAATCTAATGAAATGTTTTACATATAGTATATTGCAGCATACTGTATCAGATACTTAGTATTTACTTTTACAGGGTATACCAAAATTTATTCAACGAAATTTCTGTCGATATAATTTCACCTACATTTTGATTAACAAGAAATAAAAGATTAAAAAGTTATCCAACTTTCTCACCGGGGGATTCATAATTTTTATATGCTGTTTCAACAGTTATCATTTGTAAGAACCGTGTCCATTCTAAAGTAAACTATCATCTACACTGATACTTTTTTCTCCTTATTCCAACCATTGTTTCCTAAGTTTTTGTATTCATAATCATGCCAGAAAGTCATTCAAGTTCTTACTCGAAAAAACTTGAAACAAATAACTAAATGTTATAATTGACTTGGTTGTGCCTAGCAGTAGTGGTATTCAAGAAGCACGTTCCGTTCTATTTGGGATAAGCTATGAAACTTCTCTGTGTTCTGCTCTGAAATGTTTTTTCTTCTTGTGTTTTCTGATGTGTATTTTCCACACATTAAGTGGTTATTTTAAGGCACGACTGATACTGCATTGTTTCAAGTGGTTAAGCTTCGAAATGGTATATTGAAAGAAAATAATGAGCGCTAATAAGAATGGTGCCTGATAAAATGGGTGCAAAAATAGACAAGGGACACTATGCTGCTTTAGACTTAGAGTATGATAATAAAAGAATATATCCTCGCCATATAGATAGATTTGGTTCGCCTAACTGGTGTATGATGTACTGCGAAAAACCAAGGCCTAGTAAATAGACATCTGTACTGAGGTAAGTTGTATTAATTAGCTGGAGACAGTCCACGGGAAGCTGTCGAGTTAAGTTTCATGCTTTTTGGCACTTGTCAGCAAAGTGTGTCGGCAACTTCAAGGAAACCGATATCCCCTGAGAGATTTAAACCTACGTCACTCAGTGCCGCAGGAGGTAGATGGCAACGTGAATAGCTCAGTGGTAAGGTCTTTGACTGCAACACTGGGTTGGACGGGTTCAAATCTCTGAGGTGACATCACTTTCCTTGAAGTTGCTAATAAGGGCCAGAAAGGACAGAGGCTAAGTCGGATTGCCTTTCACCAGCTAACATCAACCAAAGTGAACTGTATTGATGAGTCTCCTACATTGGTGACCACATGGCAAAATGATCGGTAGAATTCGGTCGTCACATCATAATAGATGTACTGATTTCTGGGGCTCAGACACTAAAAGTGATAAGAAACATAGAATTCACCTGTAAATAGCAGAAAAGTATAACTAAAGAGAATGATGATCAAAAACAGCAACATTTGATGGTACTGAATTAAAAAGAAATTAATAACATGAACTTCCAGCACCTTCAAGTACATAGGCTGTTCGTGCTGAAGTTGTTCACACATGATTATATCATGTAATATGGCCACTTGCTTTTTGATATATTTCCACAGTAATTCAATAAGCAAACCTTAACCACTAAGCATTAACAGTTTATGATCCAAAATGTAACTTTCACTTTCAGACGCACTGTCTACTTATCTGCTAGTTCATCCGATTCTGGCGAATATCCATCAGATATGGAGGAACATGATTTCTCAGGTATTGTATACGGAAGTCCTACCTCGAAAGCGGCTACAATTCGTGCTCAAAGGGCACGCGCAAAACCTATTCTTTCAAATGCTCGTGGACCTTCTGTTCTAATCGGTGGGATGACTTCAATTAGTTTGTGTCGCAGAAATAATAAACAATCAGGTCCTGGCAGTGGTTCAAAATATCGTTCTGTATCAAGTCGAACTTCGAGCAGTAGCGAACGTCGTAGCAGTAGTGGTGGAAGTCCTCGAGGTCGTCGATTATCTTCTAGTTCATCGGATGTATGTGAATTGTATTTATGAATCCTGTATTTGTGTTTCTGAAAAATCCGTTTTTTTCCTCCATCGTCTAGTGACAACACATAAAAGTAGTGAATGAATGCAAGTGTCGTCTGTAGTTTGAATAAAACATTTAAGCATTTCGTTCTCTCACATTCAATAACAATTTATAACACCTGTTTTTAAAAATAAGTAGGGAGATTGCATCTGATTACATTGTTGGGTGCTATTTTGAGCCATTTCACGTATATGTTATAATTATAACTTGTTTCCGGGGCTGAATTTCAGTCATGATGTCTAGTTAGATTCATGCTAGATTAGATGGTTCAACCGGATACTTAGCTGATGACTTTATAAAATTTAGTCATTAAAATAAATCAGACTGTATCACAAGCCAACCCAAGGGATATTAAGAAACTAAACTGTCACCCTTATCTGTTGAGGACTAAAATTTTAATGGACCAGAACAATAAATGAAAACCCTCACCTATCTACAAGCATGTGACCAGGGTTAAATAATTGTGGTCTGACCTTTAAACACTGAATAGTAATGCAGCAATAGTATGAAGGTTAGTGGGCAACAAATTAGTTCTTTCCCGATCAATGTATGTAGTTGTATCTCTTCTGATCTTATGTATATCACTGGTTAAATAAGCGACTAAATGTCGTATTTATATCTGTCTGATTAACTGATAAAATCAACGTAAAACCTCGCACACAGGTACATCGCCTCAAGTTGCCACACTTCATAGTAGTACACAAAGAATAGGTGGATAGAAGAAAAGGAATATCAAAGTAGACAAAATTGTGTCAGGGAGTAAACAATCTGAAGACAACTGTTAGTGCAAATATTCAAGCTTTAAAAGATATGAAGGAGTGAATGCATTTGCACCATTGTGACCGACTGTCAACCATGTCACCAACAGTCAGTCCTCAACCACTGATTCCTATCGTCTCAGTGACTCCACCCAGGTAGTCTACATCGCCACACACGGCTTATGCTAACAGTCCGAGACTTCGTCGACTGGTGCCACGTCTAGATCTAGTCACCCTGAACCATCTTCCAAAGTAATCCACCTTCCTCTGACATGGCGCATGAAAGTAGGTGGTTGCTCGGTATGCGCAGTACGTGTGCAAGCCATCTCAGTGGACTAAAGTTCACAACCTCATCAATCAACTTGTCTGTCTTGCGTAGTACCCTTCGCGTAACGTCAGTATTGCTCAGGCAATGACTCCATCAAACACGAGCAATGCTACGAAGACATCTTTTATCAAAAGCCTCTAATCGCTTTTTGTCTCCTACTTTTAACGGCCATGTCTCACAGCCGTATAACAGAACAAAACGGGCTGCAGCGCTGTACAATCACCCTTTGATAGGTAGATGGATATCTCGCCAGTTGATGCCACAGATGACGCAAGTTGGCAAATGGACACATGGGCCTTCTATAGCCGAATTGAGATTTCGTCAGCGAGCAACCAGTTTGGTGGGCTGATGGGACTCTCCAAGTGATTGAAGTGGTTGAGGCATACCACCACTTTACTCCCTATCATGTAACTAGGATTACTTGCAGCAGATTAGTCATGGAGCATCATCCTACATTTCACAGGTGTGAAACATACAAAATATATTCAGGTTTCTGCTGAAGGCGTTCAGAAGACCCTGCGTTTTGTCAGCATCTTTACTCGGTAAGTCAACATCGTCTGCATACTCCAGGTCAACCAGATAACCTCCAGGGAGTAGGTCAATCCGTGTGAAGTCAGACTAGTTGTCGTCAATTCACTTGACAACTCTCCATAAGCCCTTATACGGCTGCGTGAGTTCGAATAGAAAGCTTTGATTAGCGTTACATACTTGCTCGGTAGTTCTTTCACAGCCAAACACTGCCACAACCTCACAGTCGATGGAGTCAAATGCTCCCTTGAGGTCAAGGAATATGACATGTGTCGGCCCCGGCAGATATGCCTGTGTTCGTCTAATTTTAAGGCCGAAATATTTTTGCTCTACGAAAGTCTCTCTGATTAAGAAACTCTTATCTATAAAGGTTTATAGTGTGGGACAGCCAGCTGATCTAGTGAATTGTGGTTCTGTACAATGATTTATCAATAGCTTGGATTACACTGAGTTCTGATGTCAGCGTAGGATGTCCAGCGTGTATAGATTGGCTGATGTGAGTAGTTGTTGAGGTTTCATCACTCTTAGTTGCTAAAACATTGAATAGTATTTAGATTTGTGTACACATATTTCCTAAGATATGGCTACTACTAGAATTTTAAGTCTGGTTTGTTATTTTGTTTCTTAAACCACTTTGTATCTTTTATTTTCATCTTAGAGATCCTTTTCATATCGAGGCTCACGTAGTAGAGTTCGTCGTCTTAAGCACTCACGTGTTGAATACATAACTACATTCGGTGATAATGAAGATGAAGTTGGTAATAAGGGAAAAAATGGTGGAAATGTTCGATCTGGTCCGAATAAACAGACTCCATTATTTGACCAAGGGCGTGGAGTGTTTGGTGCAAATGACAGCAAACCTCCTGGATCGGCTGCATCTGCTGTTGCAGCTTCTGTTGTTTCGAAACTCCTCAGTTCAACAAAAACACTTGTAAATCAGGGGAAAATTGGTTCCGACAGTATGTCTAACCAAAGTTCTGTCAAAAAAGAACCTCTTTTACGGTTAGTTTGTTCTGTTATTGATATACCTTATGATAAGAAGGTGTTCTCATTCATCCAACTTAGCTTCAAGTAAAGGTGTTTTTATAAGTACATCTTAACTACTCATCACTGTTCAAGTAGTATTGTTTCTACATTGAAATGTTTGTCACTAAAGCAAATGGTATATACCATAACTGCCATCCCTTAGCCTTTACTCCGATCTTCTATTTTGCTACTGTATTCAAGTGTTTTTCCATTCCATCGATTCTAACTGATCACTCTGCATCTGTTCATTTTGTGAAATTTTGCGAGTACACCTTTGGGTCACATATTCTTAATAGCTGTCCATTCTGTATGTATTTAAATTACTGTTACTCCTACTTTTGTCTTCACGCATAACACTAACAGTTTAAACAGTAACTTTATCTATCTATGCCTTATTATGTAATATATCATAGATTTATAGAGCTGGAACCTGAAGGGGAAGACATTCACAACAGGTGTCTGTTTACTTGTTCAAATATTTATTGTTTTGAATACTTAGTGAAAAAATTTAAAGTACACAAGTTATGATGTAATGATTTAGTTTGGATTATTTTCTCAACATGTCATTTCGGATGTTTTTTCTAGTTCATCTCCTGGTTTCAGTGATCGGCGAAGACGACCACCGTCAAAGAGTCGTTACCGTTCCCCGTCAAGATCTCGGTCTAGTAGTCGCCGATCTGTTAGTAGTTCCCATGGTAGTGGGATTCGTCGGAGAAATAACAGTCAAACCCGTAATAGCAGCAATAACAGAGGTTATCAAGGCTCTTATAGAAGATACCGACGTAGTCCATGCCAGTATCGATCTCGACGCAGGTCTTCTTCATCATCAAAAATATCACATTCTGACTCCAGCACTTTAGTAGACAATGGAAAGTCAACTTGTAATCGGTTGGTTTACTGTTTCTTGTTTAATGATTTCGTAATTTATGAGTTAACTAGTATTCATTATTAATATAAGTGTCAAACTTGGGCACTGAGGTAGAATGTAATTTCATATTAGATTTGTTTATTTGGTATAAAGCGCACAGTGATACAGTATTATTTACTTGATTACGTTTCGAGCATAAATTATTGCTCATAATCATATCAATGTAATCACACTTCTTTCGATATCTGATTTTATAGTCCTGTCACCTGATCTCTCTTTGTTTTTTTGTTTTTTGATTGGTAGTAAAGTTTTCCATATCTCTGGTATAGGTGTTGCGTCATTCCTATTACATGTGTTGGGTGTGGATTCGATGAACAAAGATTCAGTAATTAATCTCTCTCTCCACCTAGCTATATTAGACTTAAGTACAGTGGTTTTGTCCCACTCTATTGTGTGGTTGTGTGTTAATGAATGTAATGCAATGGCCGAGTGTTTTTCTAGGTTATTGATCTTATTGGGGTCTGCCGTTCTATGTTTAGCTAAATTCCTATGTTCTGTTAATCTAACTGACCCCGACCGGCTAGTTTGACCTATGTATTTGACCTCACAGTCATTACATGGAATTTGGTAGATTATATTATTTTGCCTAATTGGTTCTATCGGATCTTTTAGCCGACAAAGCTTACCTCTAAGTGAGTTTGTTGGTTTAAATGCCACCCTAATTCCAACCTTGTTGAGAATCCTACGTATGGTTTCTGATGTTCCTTCCTTGTATGGTATCACAATAGAGGTGTTGATTTCCTTTCTACTTATGTTGTCGCTATTATTTGTATTTGTATTAGTGTTATTATTTTGCTTCTTATGTGTTTGTGTGAATTTCTTAATAAAATGATGGGGATAATTATTAATTATTAACGCTTCTTTTATGTGTTTCAATTCCTTTTTTAAGTCCTTACAATGACTAGTGAGTTTCTCAGCTCTGTTATTTAGACATTTGACTAAACCCGCTTTAACTGACACTGGATGAGATGACTTGAAGTCTAGATACCTGTTAGAATGTGTTGGTTTTCTGTAGACGGTAGTATCTAAACCACCATCTATCCTTCGTTTTATTCTGCAATCCAACATAGGTAATTCTCCTTGTTCATTTTCTACTTCGTAAGTGAATTGGATTGCGTTAACTACTGAGTTTATGTGTGTCAAGAAACTGTCGATATGTTCCGATTTCAACACTGTAAATGTGTCATCTACATATCGCCACCATATCTTAGGTGTCGGATTATATGTTCGTAAAGCCATATCTTCCCAACTATCCATAAATATATCTGCTACTATAGGGGATATTGGTGATCCCATTGCTACTCCTTCTGTTTGTCTATATATCTTTCCCTGAAACTTGAAGACTGTCGAGGTTAAGCATAACTGCACTCCTAACATGATTTCATCAACCGATGCCTTGGTTCTTTGAGTAAGTTGTGAGTCAGTATCTAGTTGATTTCTGACTGCCTCCAGTGCCATATTGATTGGTATTTTAGTATAAAGACTTGTTACGTCAAAACTAACCATTTTTTCATTCTCTTCTATGTGCAGGTCATTAAGTTTTTGTTTCAACTCGTAAGAATTTACTAGTCTAGAGTTGGAACGGTCTCTAACAGGACGTAATACTGATGCTAAATACTTTGATATCTCATATGTTGGTGTGTTCCGGAAGTCAACTATCGGCCTAATGGTATAACCTGCTTTATGAACCTTAATAGTACCGTAAATTCTGCTAGGATTATTAGTTTTTGGCATTAAAGTAAACCATTCGGACTTACCTAGAGATGGCTTCAGTCGGCGTATCAGATCTGTTGTAGATTTCTTAATTTTATTCATGACAGTATCTATAGGTTTCTTAATCTCTTCATATGGCCCTGTTTGGATATGTTCATCCATTTTTTTAAGATAATCCGATTTGTCCATAACTACTGTTGAGTTACCTTTGTCAGATTTAGCAATTACTATACTATTATCCTTTCGTAGATTGTTTAAAGCTGAATTTTCCAGTTTCGTTAAGTTTCGCTGTGTCTTCTTTTGTTTTTTAAGTGCTAATGCACACTGCGCTCTAACCTGTTCAGCAGTTGTCACATCCACCGAGCTTAATGCTACTTCTATGCTAGGTATGACATCTTCTGGTTTTAGATGATCTACTGTTATGTTGAAGTTTAGTCCTTTTTCAAGTACTTTCATCTCAGCTGAGCTTAAGGCTTTCGAGGAGAGATTGACTACCCACTTTGTTCGATCGATGTTCGATGATGTTTCCTTTGTAATTTCATTGTTTTCCGAAGGATATTTTTCTTGCATTAGTTTATTGAACTTTTTGGTTTGATTGCTTCTAGATTTCTTTACAGTAGCTAATCTTGCTTTGTCTGATGTTTCAATTATAAATCCATAGTCTCTGCAGTTTACTATCTTCAACTTAAATTTAAGTTGATGGAATCATATTAGGAGTGCAGTTATGCTTGACCTCGACAGTCTTCAAGTTCCAGGGAAAGATATATAGACAAACAGAAGGAGTAGCAATGGGATCACCAATATCCCCTAAAGTAGCAGATATATTTATGGATAGTTGGGAAGATATGGCTTTACGAACATATAATCCGACACCTAAGATATGGTGGCGATATGTAGATGACACATTTACAGTGTTGAAATCGGAACATATCGACAGTTTCTTGACACACATAAACTCAGTAGTTAACGCAATCCAATTCACTTACGAAGTGGAAAATGAACAAGGAGAATTATCTATGTTGGATTGCAGAATAAAACGAAGGAAAGATGGTGGTTTAGATACTACCGTCTACAGAAAACCAACACATTCTAACAGGTATCTAGACTTCAAGTCATCTCATCCAGTGTCAGTTAAAGCGGGTTTAGTCAAATGTCTAAATAACAGAGCTGAGAAACTCACTAGTCATTGTAAGGACTTAAAAAAGGAATTGAAACACATAAAAGAAGCGTTAATAATTGATAATTATCCCCATCATTTTATTAAGAAATTCACACAAACACATAAGAAGCAAAATAATAACACTAATACAAATACAAATAATAGCGACAACATAAGTAGAAAGGAAATCAACACCTCTATTGTGATACCATACAAGGAAGGAACATCAGAAACCATACGTAGGATTCTCAACAAGGTTGGAATTAGGGTGGCATTTAAACCAACAAACTCACTTAGAGGTAAGCTTTGTCGGCTAAAAGATCCGATAGAACCAATTAAGCAAAATAATATAATCTACCAAATTGCATGTGATGACTTTGAGGTCAAATACATAGGTCAAACTAGCCGGTCGGGGTCAGTTAGATTAACAGAACATAGGAATTTAGCTAAACATAGAACGGCAGACCCCAATAAGATCAATAACCTAGAAAAACACTCGGCCATTGCATTACATTCATTAACACACAACCACACAATAGAGTGGGACAAAACCACTGTACTTAAGTCTAGTATAGCTAGGTGGAGAGAGAGATTAATTACTGAATCTTTGTTCATCGAATCCACACCCAACACATGTAATAGGAATGACGCAACACCTATACCAGAGATATGGAAAACTTTACTACCAATCAAAAAACAAAAAAACAAAGAGAGATCAGGTGACAGGACTATAAAATCAGATATCGAAAGAAGTGTGATTACATTGATATGATTATGAGCAATAATTTATGCTCGAAACGTAATCAAGTAAATAATACTGTATCACTGTGCGCTTTATACCAAATAAACAAATCTAATACGGAATTAGTATTCATGATGTTTCTTTCTTTTCATATTGGTTATGGTTTGCTGTGTTTTTTATCGACTTGAAATTGTGATTAATAATCTAGACATTTTTTATGGATTACACAATTCCTGTTGATATTTATACCTCATGACATGATATTTAATATCATTGCGGAAAAAAATCAACAGTGCCCCCCGCCTGGCGAAGCAGCTGATTCTCAGTTACTGGGCGAGCATCGTCACTGTTAGTTTTGAAGTATGTTTTCATGGTCTAAACACGTTGAACATGTGTGAGTTAGCTAAACTATACTAGTTGGTTGTATTCGAAACTGGTTTCAACTGAGAAGAATCTGTGACTTAGATGGGAGTAACTTATGATACTCTTGTTTTGGCAGAAATAATCAAAAGAACACAGAATTAGCAGTTCTCTTTTGTCTTCATAGGAATCGAGGGTTTTTCTCCAATGATATGAGTACTGGAAGAAATAAGTGTTCATTTATTTGTTAAATCACTCTCATGTACTCGTCTTAGTTATTATCTCATATTAACAACACATATTCACATCTTTGGTAGCATTTCTGATATCATGTATGTTATGTTTTGTCATCTGAACATTTTATTTCTCAATATGAACATCACTAAAATTTCCTATCGATGTTTCACCTAGATGTTTGATTTACATCATGATTGATGTTAACGTTCTTAAACACTTGGTATATATATATTCTAATTATTCCATTTTATACTGATTCATCTGAATAATTAGTACCAATGTGAATCATCCTTCCAACAAGAACTATGGTCAAAGTTCAGCGCATTTACCAGACACTATTCTTCGGTCTACTGAAAAACAATCTTCACCTCCTGTACGTAAACGATATTATCGCCCTGAGTTGGAATCAGCTGATGAATTAGAACTTTCCGAGGAAGAAATAGATAAGAGTAAAAGAGAATCGTCTAAATCTTCAGAAGTTAATTCAGGAAGGCAGTCAATCTCACGGTAATTTAAAGTTTTAATTCGTTTGATGTAAATATATTTTTGTGTATGTGAAAGGTTTCCTTTTTTTTTAGAAGTGCTTTTTGTAAAACCTAATTGGACTTTAGTTTGTATTATCAATGTTCAATTTTCTATGCCTTTAAGCATTCTCTAGGATATATAGAAGTTAACGTTTTGAGTTGTGCAATTTTTTATTAAAACGTTTCATAAGAGTGCTGATATATCAACGGATATAGTTGCAAATTGAGCCAGTAGTCCATCTGGATTAATGATTTTTAGTGAGGTCATCTGTTTTTGACTCAAGATTAGATAACTCAATGCTGAGGAAGAAATTAAAGCTCCTGGGCAGTCGTGGAGCCGGGTTCAAAAGACTACAGAGAACAGAGTGAAGTGGAGACGCACTACTAAAGTCCTATGTTCCACTAGGAATCTAAGGGACAAATAATAATAGTGCTGATAATATAGTTTGATATTGGTCACTTATAAGCTTGTTTTTATACTTATGGTGTTATTGCCTTCTACATCCAGCGGAGGATTTCTTTGCCTACTTTTGGTGTTGTATTAAGCGTCTTAGTTATAATATAGGGAAGCAAAAGGTAATAATAATAGTGATAATTTTGAAGAACTTTTAGTTTTCTATGTTGGATTAGTTTATTTGATATAGCGCAGTGGGTGAATGACACAGTATTATCTACTGACCGATATTTTGGGCATAACCCATCTCAATATCACTCCAATGTGATTTTGGGCAGTAAATTGTGGGATCACTGTTGTGAGCAGTGTTGACGTCGTGCGAAAGATTCTAGGTAAGGCAGGCAAGTCGACTAATGAGGTTGTGAACTTTAGTCCACTGAGATGGCTTGCACACGTACTGCGCATACCGAGCAACCACCTACTTTCATGTGCCATTTCAGAGGAAGGTGGATTACTTTGGAAGATGGTTCAGGGTGACTAGATCTAGACGTGGCACCAGTCGACGAAGTCTCTGACTGTTAGCATAAGCCGTGTGTGGCGATGTAGACTACCTGGGTGGAGTCACTGAGACGATAGGAATCAGTGGTTGAGGACTGACTGTTGGTGACATGGTTGACAGTCGGTCACAATGGTGCAAATGCATTCACTCCTTCATATCTTTTAAAGCTTGAATATTTGCACTAACAGTTGTCTTCAGATTGTTTACTCCCTGACACAATTTTGTCTACTTTGATATTCCTTTTCTTCTATCCACCTATTCTTTGTGTACTACTATGAAGTGTGGCAACTTGAGGCGATGTACCTGTGTGCGAGGTTTTACGTTGATTTTATGAATCAGTTAGTAAATGTCAGTGGGCAAATAATATTATGTCATTGTGCTATACCAAATAAACTGATCTAATATGAAATTACACTCTACTTACTTTACTTGTGTTCAGCTTCTGTATAGCAATCAGTGTATGCGTACTCATTATTGCACTATTACAGAGTAGGATCACATACCTTTTGTTTGGTGGCAGTAGATCTCGTTGCTTGATTTATTATATTTCGTTTAACCTATGTAGCTTTACTATTTTGTTTATTAGTTTTTTTTTAAATGCAATATACTACTCAAATATATGTGACGAACTCTGTTTATCTTCATAATTTCTTATACGCTCTTTGATACATTCTTATGGTAAACTTTTAAATAAATACACTTTTAAAATTCAGACTTTTCATAATATCATTCATGGTATGCTCTAAGTGTTAGTAGAAAGATGGTTTAGGTTTAACTAGACAGTGGAAACATGGCCACTCACTGTGGTGCAAGTACATCCAGCCGACACTTCTCAAATAGGTCGAAACAACCTCCTGGATTCCGTAGCTTACCATTAAGTAAACAATAATTCACTGGATTATTTGGATAAAATTGTATTTGTTTGAAAAGTAATCCCGATAAATGGATAGTAGTTTAGTTATGCAACACACATTCAACAACAAAAATATCTTTTGCAACGTCACAAGTAAAATAATGATAGACGATTCTTTGGTGGTCTAACAGTTTTGCAGGCTATGACATCATCTGCTAGTCATGAATTAACAAAAAATTGAGAATGCGTGTGCAGTTGCTGAATTGGGGAACCTATACTGAATCCAGTACTGTGCTGTGTGTTTGTGGGTTACGAAGTATTTCCACACTGTGATAAGAAAGCTGTTTAATGCTGTGTGGAGATCATTGATACTCTAACTGTTATCACTCCATCATGAAACACACCTTGAGACCGACAAGTCTTCCCCTCATTAACACACAAGCCAATAAATGGGATAGTAATGATTACCCTCAGTTCGTACTTTGGACAATAGAAAGATTCAAGAAGCATTTAAATCTACTGGTTATTTAGATTGTGACCACCTACCTATGAAATATCAATACTCATTATATGGGTGGTCACTAATGCACAGATTATTTGAAATTTTTTCCTCACCTGTTTTTAAAAAAAATCTGAATGATCACTACTAAGGTTGTTTCCCTTTGCCAAATGCCTGCTTCTCACTTTTCATTGTAGTTAGGATGAGCTCGTTTAAGGAAGTGCTTTTACTGGGAAATCATTCAAATTGCATTTCGTTATCTGTTTATATAGGATCTCAACTTTTTTCTTGTGCTATTCAATTATGTGACCAGCCGTTGCTGAATTGCACGATATCCCACCAGATATGTTTAAATAGACCGCGTCTCAGTTTTGTTTACAGCTGGCAAGAGAATAATAATTTATGTTATAAGCTAATGTTCTGGTCGTTATTTCAGCAAATTTATGTGGTTGAATGTTTTATGTTTTAACGGTTAGTCCATAGTGTCTCACATTTTTTAAAGTTTCTATGACAAGTATTGACAGTTTTGCTTTCAATTGTCTGTGTATCGTGGACAGCTGGTAACGTGTATACACCTGCCTTGAGACTGTCTGTCCATCGTGTGGTTTTCCCCCAGCCATGGTCTGGTTACAATTAGTCAATATTAACATAGGCACCTGGCATTATCGCGTAACGGTTCAGGCTGCCATCAAGATATATCGAGGTATCAAAGTGAATGATATTGAAATATGGAAAGAATATGTAATCAAAAGTCATATTAAGTTATAGTAAGAGAGAAAAGGTAGATAAAATCATTTCGAAACGCAATATGATGATTCAGTTGAAGGTAATATATGAATACATCTGCATAACTGGGTCAATCAACCTCGCACCACCGATTTCGGTTGTCATCCAGACTCTAACCTAGAAGTCTACATTTCCATAGACAAAAGCTAAAAATAACTAAACCAAATAATCAATCCTTAAAGTCTATCGCTATTGACTTGGACTGTGTTGGGTACATGGTTGATATGTTGAGAGTCTCTGATTGTAAAACGTTTGGTGACTGTAGACAAAAGCGATCATATTCACTCTTTCGCATCTGTGAAGACTGTCTCTAACCTTTATTTATTCTTCAAGTTGGTATTCATCATGGACTGCTATCAATTTGGAGGAATATTGCAAACCTAAAAGCACTGGACGGCCGTTTCCTAGTATGGGACTTCTCAGCGGTTCGCACCTACGATCTCACCGGGAATCTGATCAAAGACCTTCGGGTACCGTGGCCAGCACGTTAACGTGAGCCACTGGGTCGGAATCCACTGGTCCATATTTCCAACTTCTGTCAGTTCATGACATAGTGCTACTTTTCATTGAAACTTTAGGAATCAACACTCGAAGCTAGTCGCCAGTGAGCACCAGATCAATTGAGTTTGGGGGTTTAGTGATTTTTCAAGTTGGTTTTCATCATGGACTGACATCAGTTGGAAAACATTGAAAACCTGGGAGCACTGGAAAACTGTTTCGTCCTAGTACGGGATTCCTCAGCAGTGCGGACCTTGACCCCGCTAGGGATCTATTCATTGTCTATCCTCACATCCCTTTTCTTTTTCTTTTATATCATTCACTCTCATACTGTGCTCTTGTTGAGTGACTTCTTGAACTGAATTACTTCTGTGGTGTCGTTTAAATGGGGTTTCTTTGCGTTGTATGCCTTTTATGTTGTGCCGACATCTCATTAGTTATTTTCACCTTTGTTTTATATGTAACCTACTGTTGAGACATAGATCTTGTATTTTGTTCACGTAACTCATGATATATATATATATATTATATATATATATGTCATTTCTTTCCAAGAAATTCTGAACCGAAGGGATTGATTTTCTAACGCAACCAAACTAGATTTACTCCTAAGATTCAAAATACAGGATTTGTCTGAAATGCGGTTCTTTATGTGAATAAACAATAGTGAGTGGATTGTGAGGTATCTGCAGGTTTATCTCCGTCAATGCACATTGGAGAGAATGGGTACTATAGAAAGGATGTGTCCAAGACAACTTAAAAAAGAATATGAAGGACGCTCATATATTCAAAGAAGGAACGAAAAGGATTCCAACGCTATCATTGATCAGGAAAGAAACTAATATCTAGATATATTGGTTGAGGAACAGGGTATGATTGAAGGAAATTAAGAGTCAACTTGAGGACTGAGTAGCAGGCACTAAAGGAGACGATAGTTATATTACTCAATAACACTAAGTAGTATAAAATTAAAAATATAAAAAAGGGACACTAAGTTAAAGGAATTAACAATATGTATTACGCTACCTTAAAAACTCAGTTTAAAAAATATAACCCTCTACTGTATTTCCTTGTTGAAAAGCCTCGTGATCTATTATCGTAAGCTTTACTCTAGTGTCCGTTTTAATGTATTCTAGTATTTTTCTTTTCCTGTTTGTTTATGTTTTTAAAACAGGAAGTTGGATTCACATCCTTATGGAGATTCCGCGGGTAAGATGATGACGTCTCAACAGTTGGTCACGGGCGGTCCTATTCTCAGCCATGATTTAAAAGTCAGTTAATTTTCTCACACTCCTCATCAATCCAACTTTCTGACACTCTAAATTATCTAGATTTCATGGAACAGAAATATTTATCGATATACTTACAGTATTGTTGATTTAATTATTTTTAGAGCTAAAATCCATTGATCTAAAAAATTCAGTCCCAACCAATGGGTCATAGGTTTGAAAACCACTCCATCTACCATGGTGTGCGCAGCCGGGTAGTATGATTAACCCTCACTCAATGGGTTTGACATCGTCTATTACAGGAACGTGCGCAAGGCTATTGAATACGTTTTTTTCTCCTTCAGACATAATAGGGTATGACAAATGTATTTTCTCTTTTAATTTAAATCATCTCAGAAGAGTATGTGTCTGTAGTTCACTCCCAATTGATGGGTATAATCTACCTACAAACTGTTCATGTCCAATGCCAAGTTATAATATTTCGTTACTACATGCCTAGTGGGACGTACCACATGATATGTTCTCTGTGTGAACACTTTCGTATTTAGTCACCACATCATTGCATATAGACTACCAGAAATTTCTGATTAGTTTTGTTCTTCGTTATTCATTGTAGTGCAATCCAGGACTGCAGTCATACGCTTTAAGCCCTTCCTATGATTCGTTTTGGGTTGTCACACTGTTACACGTATCGTGGCAAACACTTATTAGGCTTTCTGTATGTGAACTGATTATAGAAACAGCCAAATCTCACAGACCTAGTATACATGCACATAAAGCAGTTAATCCACTTCAGACGTTTAAGTACCAGTATTTTTCTTCTTTTTTTCATCTGTAGCTACTGTAAACAAATTTAAGTAGTGTATTTTCTTGATTGTAATTTTTTGCTACTCATGAGGCTAATTTGCATTTCCTATTCATTGTTTCTTATCTTTTCAAAATTTTCCAGAGCTCTGCTGCAACTGGTTCAGGTGTTCGTATTATGCCTCAGGAATTATTAAAACGTCGTGTTCAGTCTCAGCTTACCAAAGCTTGTGAGTTTATTTATTACATGATGGTATTGAATTGTTGGCAGTTGAGTAGAGTAGTCAATTAGTTGCTTAAGCAGTCTATGGTTGATAATATTAGAGAGAAATTCATCGTTTTCTATTTTATAGAGAGTTAAATGCAGCTGATATGACAGGATAAGTTTTGTTGTTCTTATATTTATGTTATTTATTTTGGTAAAGTGTCAAACTGGTTAGTTGAATTACTTCTTACAACCCTGTTCTCTTTTACGGCTAATGGAATAGCTTTATCAATTTCATCTCTAATACTTTGACTTCTTAATGTATACAGATACAGTATTGAAGCATTTACTAGAGCTATTTCACAGAAACTGATTTAAGTAAATACTGATATCGCATTTGGAGTCGTTTCTTTTCCAGAGTTTCTGCAAATATACGAACAGATATCATAGAAAAAAGTGGTTTTACTACATCGCTAGACCAGTTTTGTAGGTATCGGGACTTGTGTATTCATTCCAAAATGTAATGGGTTACTAACTCACCAGGATTAATTTAACTCCCCAAGTAAGTGAAGTGATCAGCACAGTAAATCACTTCACGCCGAATTATCAGATGAGGTATCAACTCACACCAGGCCTGAAGCAGCCACTTTCATTTGCAACGTGAGAAATGCCTCTCAAGCATTCTTAAAATACCAGTTAAAGTGTTGGAAGACTCGTCATCTTGTCAGTGTTTTCCTTGAACACGACTATATCATCTGTGTACTCGAAGTTAGTTGGTGGGTTTCATTAAATGACGTTATTTTTTGAGGTCAGGCGAGTAGAAGGAAACTTCTACGAGCATGTCAGTGACAAAATTAGATACCAATGATTTAAGTGAACATTGTTCATGGCCACCACTTGAAGTACACAGAACAATTTACGCTGTAACGCGCCCATCCTCTGGGTGAGAGATACCGTGATAACAACTCTCGATCGACAAAGCTGAATGTTGTCTTAAGGTCAAGGAATGCAATTATTGTCGAATACTGGTGAGTGTTCCTATGTGGTTGATGCACCCACAACCAGGTCTGTCTGTCTGATTTTCTTGAAGCGACTATTCCTGAGGTTCACAGGAGGATTTCCCTGCTATCTTGAAAACTGGGTCAATAATTAGCGATCGAGACCAATCTGGAGGGATCATATCTGATTTCCATACGCCAGTTGACACTTCAATTAATGTAACCAACAATCTTCGACCACAGTTTTGAATACTTTTGATATTAGTCTGTCTGGAACTACTCTCCATTGTCGTTTCAGGTTACTGACATCCTTCCAGTTTATACCAGAGTTGTAGGGTTTGCCTCAGCGTTGTATTCAGGGTCCAGTGGGAAAGCTAAAAACCAAGGTATCTATGGATGTTAATTGAATTGTTCATTGACATGTTCCTCTCATCGTTCCAATTGCCTTTTTGTGTGGGTGGAGCGCTGATCCATCCTTTACTATAGTCTCAGTAAGCACCAACTTTTTCATCCCAGTTTCTTTGATCAGTTTAGATATTTGGCTGGTGTCATCTGTCGTGGCTACCTTCTCTATGTGTTTTGCTGCCTCTATCGACCAATGCTTGTGGTCATTGTGCAGACTTTTTCGGTGTGCATTTGGATTGCTTCTACTCCATATTGCTGTAAAAACAGCTGTGGCGACAGTTGGTAGCCTACATCTCAAGGTTAGCAAATGTGTATGGGTTTTCGCAGTGTCATCAGAACTGATTGATACGACAAGAATCATTTCAACCTCTCTGACCACAATAAAGAGCGAAAACAAATTGAGCATAGATTGACTAAGAGTTTTCGCAATAATCGTGAGCAACGGTGGATGGCGAGAGCAAGAGAGATGGAGAAGGCATCAGCGGTAGGTTAATACCTGGCAATTATTTCGACTTATTCATGATGCTGGTAAGAAGAGGACGATGGTGATTGAGAGCGTTGGCAGACCACTTCGAAGTACATTTCAACTGACCCACAGCAACACTTTAGAATTCAGTCAGTCCATATCTGAATGGGACGTAAATGTCGATCGTCTAACTCTCTTTAAAGTTGAGAAGGTTGTGTTGAACCTGAAACGATGAGAAGCAGCAGGTCGTGACACTTTGCCACCCGGAGTTTTTAAGGATGCAAGTAGGAAACTACTGAGTAGAGTAATAGAGGTGGTAAGTAGTGTATGGGAATCAGAAGTAGTCCCATCAGACTGGTCTGCTTCACTGATCATTTCGATGTATAGGTAGGTAGCGAAGTCTTGTGAACTACCGTAGGGGGAGGGGGTTGGGGTCAGTTTGTCTAACTTTGGGTCAAAGACCCTAGGGTTCATAGTTATCCGATGCCTAACTGGAGCTCGAACACGGGAAACTGGGGAAAACTGGACCATCTCCAAACTTGTAAGAGGGTATTTCCGTAAAATATTCACCCTTCATCAGATTTCCACTTTTCTTGGCCCGTAGGCGGCATTTGGTATTCAATTTCCTTTTGATCACTATCAACCTTCCACATTGGTACCTTCTAATTTTCGTTAATGTCTCTCGGTCAACATTTCCGCACCTTTAATTTCTTCCACCTCTACAACTCTTAACAATGATCTGAGTTGACGGAATCAGATCCCTGGTCTTCTGAGACCATGTAGGAAACTTCATGTTGAAGCTTTCAGTGTCCGCACTCTCCATCAAACTGATGGGCAAGCTTCGCTAGCCAGAACTCTACAGTAGTGGACCATAGCTGTGCACTGTTTGTGAGACGCGTGCAGAACCCAAATGTGGTTATTCAGCTTAACTTCTCGGTCAGCTCAGCTAATCCGCAAAATTCGCCCTTTGAGTTTCTTGAGGTTAGATGGTTAGTTCTAACGGTTTTGCAGGTGTAGGTGTAGGACTAAATGTTAAGACAGAAAGCGCACTGTTCGAGTGGATCCCACTTGGCAGTCGTCTATGCCCTGTTCCACTGAACAGCACAGTAACGACTAAACTAAATAATGGAACTCGCCTTTCTCTAATTGCGATGTCTGCTCACACTCTTACTGACCACATTTCGGATGTAATGAAGATTGAGTTCTACCAAAAACTGTCCAGCCTCCTACTAAAAGCTAAACGCTCAGAAGTGGTTGTCGTAGTAGGCTGAAGATGGTCTCAAGCTTCTTCAGGATGAGTGATGTCATCCTCTTCTGATATCTATCTAGCCAATTCGTCTTTGATAGCAACCTAGAATCCTCATTATAGGGCCTCGCTGGTAGGGGTCTATTAGTTATCGTTCTTCTACTTCCATGTAGATACAGACATACGTGCACTCAAACCAACGGGTATTCTCTGTCCATCGTTGAGATTAGGCCGGTGGACGCCACATGAGATATTTTTCTGTCCGGAACTCGTGCTAGTTGCAACTAGGTGGTTATCTGAACTTGGGAGTAGGATGCAGTCTCCATTATCTATTCGCTGTACCAGGATTCCGAAAGTAGTGCCTCTCTGTTTGACTTAGCCTTCCTACTTGTGCAATAAAGTTGCCTTCTACAACAATCACGTCTAGACTTTTGATTTTCAGTAAACAGCTAAACAGTTTTTTGGTAGAACTCATCTCCCATTTCATCCAAACTACAATCCAGTTGGTGTGTGAGTAGCTCTTACAAAGAATACAATGATAAATTTCTTTGTTCTTTTTATTCCTTACTTCACCACTTAGTTGGTCAGTGTAAAAGCTCCTGCTATCAGGTACCATATCAAGCAGTGCACTTTCTGTATTCTGAGATAAGTGCTACACCCATAGCTTTGGCTGTGTGAGTACGAAAACTGGTTGAAGCATGCTGTGACTTCAGACAGTGATTTATGTTGTTTCGCTGATAAGCAGTAGTGTTAGATTTTTAGTACGACTGAAATCTAGTTAGTCGACAGGTTTCATAGTTTGATCATACAGCTCGTTTTTAAGTTTTCTTTATGATCCGATAGATTCAGTTTGTTTCTCTTGATGTTATGCTCCTTTATTGTTTTAGTTAATTAAGGGTTTAGCACTTTATCAAGAGTTCTTTTACATACTTGTATACTCTGTTAGCTTTTCTATTTAGTTGGGTCAGGAGTATACTATGCGTGGTTAGTATTTAGCAACTTATGCAACATAATGCACTGACAAGATATTCAAAGAATAAGTGTACGCCCGATTCATGTTCTATACTTTATCCTTTGGAGTTTGTCTTAAGGCATTTAGTAATTAATAACGTCTTCACCGTATCCACCTACTCATAATGAAATCGAAGCAACTTAAATTTGAGGCTATGAATGTGTATCCATTGAGTTGGTGTTGACCCTGAACTTTGACGAACTATTTATTGTCATTTTGACGATCTGAGATAGCCGTGGTTTGGCAGACTAGTATAGATACTGGATGATGATTGAAGGTAAAATGAAAATTTGAACCGCAGCGGGATTCGAACAGGCTACCACCGGGTTTCTGGCCTGATGCTCTATCAGCTGAGTTACGAGGTCCGACTGATGACCAAATTTTTATTTCACTTCAGTCTCCAAGGGTTTTGCCCGACTACCATGTGAATTCGTGACGAGTACGATCAAACGATAGTAACACGTTACAAATTCACTTAGTAGTCGGGCAAAACCATTGGTGATTGAAGTGAAATAAAAATCTGGTCAGCAGTCTGACCTTGTAGCTCAGTTAGTAGATCATCTGATGGAAAACCCGGTGGTCGCTGGTTCGAATCTGACAACGGTTAGAACTATTTGTGAGCGTAGAAAGTCAAATGGAAGAATCTTCATAATGACGAAGCTATGAAACACTATGGCATGTGGTGACGCTACTGACTGCTATTTTGAGCTGTATAGGAAACTAAAATATCTAAATAAATATGTTTGAAGGTGATCATTAAGCAACTTGGTGTACAACCCAAAGCAATGATTCAAGAATATCCATTCTTTATAGATTTTTTTCCCTTGAAACCTTGAGTATCTTATCACTTTATATCTACTTATTTTGCTCCTTTTTGTGTGATATTTTTTACCTGTTTTAATATTACTGATGGTGCGACTAAATTGTCCTTTTATACCGAGTATTTTGCGGTTACTAAAACTTTCAGTAGCCTGTTTAAATGCAGAACAGTTGTATGCTCATGGTGCCAGCTTTGTTTCAATAGAGTAAACTAACTTCTTATCAAATGAGAAAGAGAAGCATTTTCCACAACTCTGTTTACGAATATACATTTCAGTGTTTCTCGATGTAAATCTAATGCTGGGTGTGTAATATGATGTGTTTTGGAACATCTGTTAGTTTATTCTACTCAACAAAATCTGTCATGCACTCAAAGTGAAGCGGAGTTTTTTTTTGAAAATTGAATAAAACACTGTTGTTCTTCAGTTTTTTTTTATGAGTTTTTCATTTTTCAAGAAAAGATTAATGTGTTTTTGATGTTTCAAAGATGGCTTTTTAAACTATGAAAGCATTCAGTTTCCAACTATTTCTAGCCGTCTTCAAAGTGATCAGGTTTGTGTAAGCAATCAGGTGATTAACTAGTATTTGTGATAGTTTTCAAATGTGTAATATATTGAACCATAACTTGGGTTACTCAATTTCGAAGCGAAGGTGGATTCTTAAAGGTGATATTAAAAATCAATCATTGTATTTAATAATTATAATCTATTTGATTTGCACTAGGTCAATGCCAATTATTCGAGATTCCAGGTTATGGGCAATAAGGTTGCATCAGTCATTCAGCATTGATGTGAAACTTGACATTACTGCGTAACAGTGAAGGCTGCCACACCTCATATCAACACATTAGGATGGAGCACGTCATGAGGAAAAATAGAGAAATGATGAAAAACGTGATCAAAAGTAGTATGAATTCATGAGACGGAAACAAAAGGGGATAAAACGATAATGACTGTTGACATTAAGATAATGTGTAGATGCATTTGCGCTGCTGAGATCGACTCTGAGCAACATGGCCAAGAATCTTGAATTACTGGTTTATGTAATCACATGGACTTCCAGCCGGGCGTTCAACCTCTTCCTACACAGTTCAGACCATCAGTCTGAGTCTTCACGAATCGATACAACGTTTCAGTCTGGTCAACTCTGACATTTTCTTCTCCGCTAAATCTTCTTCAGCTAACATTGTGCGACTGACCAGATGATAACTAAACTACCTGCTGACTAAGATATCTAGAACTTTGGTTTTATATTCTTAACCTTTGATCAGGTTGCTCATAATTAGTTACTGTAGAGTATGAGTTCTGTGCTTTTCGTGACAATTTCCATTCCTTATTACGCGTGCATTTTTATTCACCTTTATTTTCTCTGTCCATCTTTCATATGCATTGAACATTTGAATTTCTCATGGGGGTTGTTTTCTCTTATTGGGGCATTTGAAATTTGCCAACTTGCATCATCTGTGGCGCTGACTAGTGAGGTATCCGTCTTTATCAGCGATGAGCATACTGCGCTACAGTCTTGTCTTGTTACATTGTTATGGGGTATGGCTGTCGGGAGTAGAAGACATGAAGTGGTATAAGGTTGAGTTTTTGACATGTATGGACATACTTAAGGGGTGGGGAATGCCTGTTTGTGGGGTATTAGTATTAACTATACTAAACAACTTATTTTAATTATCCTCTGTTTCACCCTGAATATTCTTCCTCATTTCATCTGTTATTCACCTCAATGGGCTGTTCCTTGCCGACTTTAAATCCAGCTTAGTAGTGTCTGTACCAGTTTTCCACGGATTTCTGATTAGTTTGATTTTGTTTTGTAATATTTCTATCGAAACATGTTCCTGATATTGTCCCTTCAAATACTTACATCTACACCGTTTGGTTTTGTTCTACTTAGTTAACGCTGACAAAAAAGCTGAAATGGAGAAACAAATTCAACTCGAACGTGAACGTCAGGTAAAACATGTTAAAGTTTTTACTACATCATATGTTTACGTTTCACTGCAACTAATACAATATAAACTTTATAATATATATTGTTTGGTAATGAACTATTTCATAGAATGTCAGTAAAAAGGTTTAGACCCTAAGCATTTATATTCGTGAACGTAGGTACTACAACTCCCTCTGTACTCTTTACTTTAGACAACTGTGTGGTATTTTTAAATGTCACACAATAGGTGTAGTGGGTGACTTTAAAGACGACCCTGGAAGCGATCGAAATAACCAACTAGGTTTCTTTATTTCGACCGGGAAGGCCGATTTTCATAAAATACAGAAGTCTGATTGGTTACCTAAGTTGTTGCTAGTATGGCCGTTAAATTTACTCGGTGTAGCTTGCAATAGTTCAATCTACGAGACTGTGAACTACCAACTACTGTGGAGAGTTAACTTGACATCTCGAATTATTGTAGCAAACCACAAAATATTAATTACCTTTCTTTTTATTTATTTATTCGTTTAGTTTTTGCAATGTTATTAACTTTGCTTATTGTTTTGCCAGTAAAGCACTGTCTAGTGATTCCTGTGTTTTTGTGTATGATTGAAATGTAAACTAAAGAAAGTTGATGAGTAACTTATCGCCTAAAGTCTTCTTTGAAAATAATACTAATAATCTATCTCTATTTAAGGTTGGTTATCATGTAGCCTTCTTTTCTTCTCTCTTCACTTTATTATTCCTTCAGCATTGACTCAGTCAGTCTCTGCTTAAGGTAATTACATTCCTAGCTATTATTCAACATTTATATTCTCTTATTTTTAGTATATTATTCACCGTAGTTACTGTTTATTTTCATTTACTTGTTAGATGATAATACTTGGCATAATAGACTTTTCATGGTTATATGTGGCTGTTTTGATATACATAAATATATATATATTCTCAGACTAGTGGTTCATCCACTTACGCGCATGTGTTTGCATGCATTCAACATCGACAGTATTTATTCCGTCAAGTTCTATAGTTGGTTCTGTGTGTGCGTTCATATTCTTTCTCTACTAATGCTTACTCATTCCTACTGAAGAACGATATATTCTCTAAGCCTATAATTGACCTTTGATCCTATTTTTCTCACTGAAGGTAAATATTTTGTTGTCGTTTTTCCTTTCTATTACCCTTAGCTTTTTGTAATATTTCTTGTAATATTATAATCATTATTGGCTCACATGTATTTTATGGTTGTATTGTGTTTTCAGCTAGTCATACATGTTGGCTTTGTCAATCATTTATTTTTCACCCTCATGATATTCTCCATATAAACTTGGTCACCCATGTCTTATATCTGGCAAAAAAGTAACAAGTAACGTTACTACGAAAAATGTATTTTGTGTGTGTGTGTTATTAGAGGTCACACTGATACTATTCTAACTGGCTGTTAGTCTCTTGAGGGTGAACAATGTGACATCATTGTATTGGGGGGATATAAGCGTGTGCAATGAATATAAGTCAACATGGGACTTCTTAATTACCGTTAAAACTCTCATCGTATTCGTCTTATTGGTTTGGTTTCTATGTAGTTTGCAGCGTTAATGGTTCACGTGAAATAATCACCTTTGCTCCTTTTCGCTGTTAAGTTATAGTGTGGTAAGGTTGGAGATGCGTTTCTCATCATTCAGATTCAAATTGTTGCTCCAGGACTGTTCTATGCTTTTGCTTTGTGTAACGGCTAGGAGTAAAGTGGTTGGGCGCGTTGTCCACTTCACTTACCCTGGAATTTGGACCAACCTTGGTTAGTGACTGACGAAGTCTGCCCACCTGGTTTTCTCCAGCTTGCATCATTTACAGCGCCATCGTGATATCCATTTGCCTATTGGGGGCTGAGTGTACTGTGCTACAGTTTACTCTGTTCTACTATATGACTGTAAAACACTACCGTTAGATGCAGAGGATGTGAGAAGGCTTTAAGTGTTCGATCACAGTGGCTTCAATCAAACGGTCTAGATCCCTCCACTTCAGAGGCTTTTACCACAGTTTACTTTGATGCATTCACTAACTTTTTTCCAACCTAATCTTATTTCAAATAACGTTGTATTCGGTTAACTGTACATTGACATAAGTAACGGCTGCTGCTCAGTGGATAAAGATTCATAACGTGAAGGAATCCGGTAGTATGTTTCACTTTTAAGCCAGTGAGAATGAGGAAGATACCAGTAGTTCTACAGTTGAAATGTGTTGTTTATCCTTATACACAGACAAAAATTAATAATGGTACTGACCTATCTTTTTGAAGCGCTTGTACACCAACGATTGACTTCAAGCAAATTAGGAAATAGAAATTACACTATTGTATGGGATCATGTTGGTCAAACAACTAATCATTGTAAATTGGCAACCGAATTGGAAAAAAAGCTATTTGAAACAACAGATATTTCTGTAAGAACAGTAACGCTTTCACCAGAGATAAGCACACATAGCTCACAAATTCCGAAGAAAATGAAATTGTAATCGTGAATTCAGCTGTTGGTTTTCATCTATTAACAGTGTTTACCGCAAGCAGTGTTTACATCAATTGTTTTCGTGTGAATTACTGCAAAAAATGGACTACATCATGTTGGCGATTCGCTTTTATCTATTTCTGGGTTTGTAAACCTAAACACTTATGGGAGTATCCAATGCCATAGTGTTTTAGCACACTTACTGTTAACATTACTATTAACCTTACCCTTTTGTAGTTATCCTCTGTTAGTCAAGTATGCATGCAGCTATGTTAAATGTAAAGAACGCTGTTTAGTTTAAGCATGTTTACGCTATACTTTGTGCAGTCTTTACAAGTTTCTGTTTCATTTGCGAGTGAACTGAATAGTCTGCGCTTTTGCTATCGGTAGTTACTAAATCCAATGATCGTGTACCAGCTAGTACACCTATTTCTGAGTAAACGTTTTGTTTGGTGATCAAAGATGCTGTAAGATTAGGATGATTGTGACAGTTTGATGAACAAGTTTCGAATGGAAGAATATGCAGATCATTAAGTTTGGTTGATACCTGACGTCAGGCTATATACCACTCGCATAGTTCGCAGACGGCGTTTGTATTGTGTCTGATTTTTTCTTTGAACTAAAGTACACTGAGTATTAATATCCATTGTCATTCTCATTCGGATGAAGCTCTTTTCTAAAAATTTTCATCTACAGGCTCGCGAAGAAGGGTTGCGTCGACAGGCTCGCCTTCTTAGACGTCAAGAAGAGAAACGACTACGTGCAGAAAGACGTGCTATGGCCTTGGAATTAGGATCGAATCTTGGGAATACTTCTGATTCTTCATCAGTTTCATCTACTTCCTCAGGTAGTAGGCATCGCAGTAGCCGGGTGAGAAGTAGGAGGTCACCAGTTCGTCGACAGTCATCAGCATATTCTTCTCACCACTCTGGAGGTCGAGGGTATTCTCCACCTAGTTTATCACGTAGCCGACCTCGAGCAGAATTAGAAGAAGGACTTTTAGGCACCCCAAACTGTACTACAGATGGAAGATTACCATCTCCACCATCTAGTTCAAATATGCGTCGATCTTTCTACAGTTCATCGGGTGACAAACATGATACACAAAGAGGCCTATCAGGTAAGTAGTTTTTCTAATTCTTTCAAATCCCAGTTGTATAGATTTTGTTCTCATTTTTCGCTGAAGAATATAGTTTGAAAGTGAAATAATTTTACCTTCTTTTGAAAAATCTGACTAACTCCTGGTGACTTAGTATACTACAAATTTGAAAATTCGTAGGTGGCTACTAACCATTTCATAAAGACAATAACAATGTATCATCGACCTCACCTGGTTTTATTTGATGAACCTTCTGCTTTGAAGTTGAAGCGTGTGGACGAGTTATATTGTTATATTTCTGTTGTGTAATATAAGTTAATAGTTTGTAATTTTACTACAGGAAGCCACAATACATGAATTAAAGTACATTGCGATGGTTTGTCGTTGGCTATTAACCAGTGTCATTTTATCTACTCTCAAATGCCTAACTCTTTTCAATTACCTCGAACCAATTCAGTATTAGTTTTGTGTTATTTAGTTTCTTGATAGATTGACTTTCTACTCACAGAAAGTCCCAAACTGACGTAAAGTACTTATTCGATGTAATCTTTTTAGCCGACGTTGCTGACAAAATACAGCCCTCTAAAATGATCTTACATGACTGATTTATTTTGACTGTTAGTTTAAAAGTCGACAATAAAACTACTCTGTATTCTGACCTCTTCATGTAATCAAGAGGTTATATCAATCTTGATGAGATGATGGTTGATGAAATCACAATATCGATACAGAAATTCCTTTAGATTTCATGCACGAAATGTATATCTGCTATAGAGATCTGTGAAGCATTGGCGATGAAGGCAGATTATATGATAAATTTGCAGATTTTCTACCTTAGTAACCTTCATAACACTGTTTACATGTGATTGAACCAGTAGGTGAGTGGTGTCCAGGTTAAATTGAGCTTAGTAGGCTAGGAAGGCAAGCTGAGCTTTAAGGTTTTCAATCTTTTCTTACTGAGTAAACTGATTGACAAAATCAACGTAGGACCTCGCACACAGATGCACTAGCTCAAGTCGCCACACTTCATAGTAGTACACAAAGAACACGCGGACAGAAAAAGAGTGATATGAAAGTAGGAAAAATTGTGTGACAACAAACAATTAGACGATAAAGGTTAGTGCGAATCTTCAAGCTTCAGAAGATGTCAAGGAGTGAATACATCTGCGTCATTGTGACTGATGTTCAGTCATGTCACCAACAGTCCTCAACGACTGATTCCTTTCGTATCGAGAACCCCAATCAGACAGTCTACATCTCCCAACACGACTCAGACCAACAGTAACAGACTTCATCAACTGGTGCTTTATTTTCGTTCGGGCACTCTGAACTCTCTTCCGGCCTAATTCAACTTCTAACATGGGATGTTGAGGTAGGCGGTGACTTGGCATGCCCAACATATGCTCAAGCCATCTTAACCTATGAACGTTCACAACTTCAACATTGCTCACATGGTGATTCCACCAAACGCGAGCAATGCTACGAAGATATCAGGGATCGAAAGTTTGTGATCGTTTCGTGTTTTCTACTTTTAACGATCATGTCTCAGCTGTATTGCAGGATAGATCGGATTGCAGCGCAGTTAAATCGTCTTTTGATAGATAGTCGGATATCTCACTGGTCAGCACCACAGATGATGCAAGTTGGCAAATACCATACTTCAGTTTTATCTCATTGAATATTGGTCGATTGTTATGTTACTGTTAATCAGTACTGCGATTAGAACTGATTTCGTCTTCAATATGACTGTCAGCTAGGGAATATTACTGAAATTATCTATAATCCAACAGTCATGTTCCGATAATAAGAGCTCCGCTCCATTAAACTACGTAATTAACTTAGGACTGATGGGTTACGAGTTTGAGTTTCAACTCCATCTATCGAGGTTCCTAGTCCTCATAAATTAAGTATTATTGACGCCATTCATGTTGACATGATTTTTGAGTTAACGCTACAAGTTCAGATGCAGTGTATTGTCTTTGTTGATGGTGACAGTAGTTTGTATTGTTTCAGTCTACACCGAACATTTTTTGGTTACATTTTATCAAGATCTTTCGATATCTAATTGTGAACAAGAATTCATTTTAGTCCTTATGTCTGACCATTGGCGTATACTTTCTTTTGTGTTTAGGCACTTTCCCTAGAGATCGAACTGAACGCCCTACCAGTTCTTTGCTTGGTAGTCCTGTTCGAAGTTCTTATTATAGTTCAAAAGATCGGATAGGCGTTTCTTCCCCGTCGCGAAGCGGTGGTTCCAGGGAAGAGAAACCCTATGGTTCTGGTCGTTCTTCCTTACCCTCACGTGATGGAGTAAAGAGAAATACTGAACAGCATTTTGTCAGTACTGATAACTCTAATAGATTGAACCAATCCTCAAATAGACGGTAGTTATTTTTGAACATTGTAATTCTCTCTTGATTAATAACATTTCATAGCTTTGTTTTTCTGAAAAATCATCACAGAGGGAAAGGCTAAAACATAGACACATTGATCTGTCATCTAAGAGTAGGTGTTGTTTCAGTTAGTGCTGAGTGGTAACTGCGTTCTACTGACCATGTTTGCTCTATACGGTTACTCTTGATATATTGAGCACTGCAACCATCAAGGCTGCAAATACACCTTACTGATGAGTCACAGCAGGCGTGTAACCTAAGTTGAGCTGGGTTATCTACTGATTCCTTTTCGCTACCTTACACTGAATGAAGCGCACGACAGTGGTGCGTAAGTACATTACAAACCGGATCGACAGAATTTGGTTAACACCGTAGTACTAGAAAATGAAACATCGGTTAATTTTACGTAACCGGATCAGCTTATTCGAGCATTAATTTCACTCTCCGCATACTTATCGAAATCTTCTGTAGTAGATCATGGTTTTATGTGGTGTAATTGACTTCTCCCTTGTTCCGTTATTGTTTGTGTTAGTGTCCTTCCAATCGACTACCGTATATCATTGTTTATTTGATAAAATAACGTCATAAAATGTGATAGGCTGCTGAATGATACAAGTAACTTCCAAGATCTGGGCCGACCACTCAAAAAAAGCCAACTAACCGTGACATGCTTTCCAAGCCAGTAGAAAAACCATTCTTATTCTCCTAAAGTCATATTGCCAATTTCAAATCGGAGCTTTCAGCGGCAGAACCCTATAGCAAGTCGGACAACACATCTCACTTGTTAACACTCAGGAATCTCGAGCGATAGATGTATACAAGGCCCAAGTGTGGTTATTCCCTCGACTTCTCCTGACCAATGCAGTAAATTTGCGAAATTCACTTGATGAGTATCTGGAAACCCTAATGGCTGGTGGCAGGTATAGTATTAAGTTAATACAAGAGTAAAACTTGGGCACTCTAGTTGACTGTATTTTCATTTTTGTTGATTGATTAGATTTTTTACTGTGTAACATTTAATAAATCAACTAAAATGAAATGATATTAAGTTCTTAAGCAGAAAGCTTACTTCTCGAAACGTATCTTGGAGGTGTTTATGGAATCCTATGCCAGTGAACCAACAAGAGTAATCATCTCTAGCAATTTTGTTTTAACGATCATTTATTTCTGACCAGCAGTAACTTCAAGTGGATGGAAGACAGACACTGTTTCACTTGGCGTTCGCCGATACCAAAGCAACGATGAACACAAGTAGATCATATTGCTATGAGCCGTCAATGGAGGATTGCCATTGCACACGTTTATGTAGGCGTATAGATACTTACAACCTCGCCTGGTTAACTAGTTTACTAGTTACTAGCCGGTCCTAAGCCCGGGTAAAGAGGGAAGGTTGGGCATAGGGCTAGCAACCCTACCCCGTAAAACAAATCTAACCGCTAAAGAAACTTCAAAGCACAAACAAAATATAAAAAATGAAAACAAACTTATTCCCCGCTGGAATCGGAGAGGCGAAATGACGCCAGTTGGTGAAAGCCTGCTTCGGGAAGCCAATTGGCCGATGTGTCTTCTCTCCCTCGATGAAAGCGAAAGTAAACGTGGGGACATGGAATGTCCGCACGATGTTTGAACCCAGTAAGGCAGCCCAGATTGCAAAGGAGATGAGAAGGTATCACATCGAAGTGCTTGGGATTTGCGAAAGCAGATGGAATGGGAGTGGACTCTCCAAACTGTCAACTGGAGAATCAATAATCTACTCCGGTCACCCAGACGCCAACCACGAGCACACTGAGGGAGTGGCTATCATGATGTCCTCAAGAGCATCGAAGGCTCTCATGCAGTGGGAACCAATCTCCTCCAGGATCATGACAGCAAGATTCAACTCAAAAGGAAGGAAGGTCACAATCATACAATGTTATGCACCTACAAATAATGCAGAGCAAGAGAAAAAGGAGGATTTCTACAGACAACTTCAATCAACACTGGACAAGACGTCAGTTGGCGATATCAAAATTCTGATGGGCGACATGAATGCCAAACTGGGAGGGGACAACACGGGAAGAGAACTAACCATGGGTCGAGAGGCGCTAGGTGAAATGAATGAGAATGGAGAATTGTTTGCAGAATTCTGTGCATTCAACGATTTGGTGATTGGAGGCAGTGTGTTCAGGCACAAGGATATCCACAAAGCGACATGGACTTCACCAGATGGACACACTAAAAATCAAATCGACTTTATCTCAATCTCAAGAAAATGGAGACGCAGTCTACTTAACACAAGGTCAAGAAGAGGAGCAGATGTAGGTTCAGACCACTCACTGTCTAGTGCAAGGAACCTTCCAAATCAAGTTAAAAGCCTTCAAGGAAGCTGGTGATAGACCTCAATTCAAGTACAACACTCGGAAACTGAAGGATGAAACTACAAAGGAGATCTTCAAGGCAGCCATCAAGACAAAATGGGAGACATCGAGCAACATCCCTGAAGAAACCTGTGTGGAAGAACACTGGAAGTCTTTGAAAGCTATGTGGAAAGAAACCTGCACAACAGTATTAGGAAGGAAGAAGGAAGAAGACAAGGAATGGATCTCGACGGATACCTGGAAGCTGATAGAGGAGAGGAGGATGGTGAAGCAGAAGATAAACCAGTGCAAGGATGCTCAACGACAAGAGGAACTGAGCACAATGTATAAAACACTGGATAAAGAAGTGAAGAAGAGTGCACGCAAAGACAAAAGACACTTCTACGAAACACTGGCAAGTGAAGCAGAACAGGCTGCAGGTAAGAGAGACCTGACGACATTGTATCAAATAACCAGGTTGCTATCAGGGAAGAGACCAACACAGATGAAACCAATAAAAGATGAAGAAGGAAATTTAATTACAAAAGAAGAGAAACAGAGGAAACGATGGGCCGACCACTTCAAGAAGCTCTTGAATCGACCACGACCACCACCTGCACTTCGTCCAGAAATACCACCTGCAGCCGCTGAATTACAAGTGAACATTAATCCCCCAACGAAAATGGAAGTCCTGAACGCCATAAAGCTACTGAAATGCGGGAAAGCAGCAGGACCAGATGGAATACCGCCAGAAGCACTGAGAACAGATGCAGAGACAACAGCGGACATGCTCACACCACTATTGCAGAAGGTGTGGAAGGAAGAGAAGGTACCTGTCTATTGATTGGAAGAAGGGTTACCTTGTCAAACTGCCGAAGAAAGGAGACCTCAGTGCTTGCAAGAACTGGCGCGGAATCACTTTCCTGTCCACCCAAAGCAAGTAAAATATTAAGCCGCATCATCCTGGAGAGGCTTAAAGACGCACTGGATTCAAAACTGCGACCGGAACAGGCAGGCTTCAGGAAGTACAAATCATGTGTGGACCAAATTGCAACGCTTCGTATCATCATAGAACAGAGCATAGAATGGCAATCAGCTCTCTACCTCAACTTCATCGACTTTGAGAAGGCCTTTGACAGCGTCGACCGAGAAGTAATTTGGAAACTGCTTCAATACTACGGAGTACCGCAAACCTTTATCCGCCTCATTCAACAACTATATGAAGATGCCACATGCCAAGTAATCCACAATGGGAAGCTCAGTGATGCCTTTGAAGCGAAGTGAAGACAGTAGTGAAACAAGGTTGCCTACTATCCCCCATGATATTCCTTATTGTGGTGGACTGGATCATGCAGCAAACAGTAGGCAGCGAGAAGAGGGGGATACACTGGACTGTGGAAAAGAACCTAGAAGACTTGGATTTCGCCGATGACTTATGCCTAATGTCACACAAACTTGAAGATCTGCAGGCAAAAACTAACAAGTTGATAGAAGAGGCAGCTAAGACGGGACTTCAGGTGAATATAGAGAAGACAGAGGTGATGAAGATACCGCACCACCACCATCAACAACAACAACAAACTCCAATCACAGTCAACGGGAGAAACTTGAAGGAAGTAACCTCCTTCACTTATCTAGGAAGCACTGTTTCAACTACAGGTGGCGGGACGGACGAGGACGTCAAAGTCAGAATCGGAAAAGCAAGACAGGCGTTCATTAGCCTGAAACCAGTGTAGAGATCTTCTGCACTCAGCATGCGGAACAAGATACGGATTTTCAACACCAACGTCAAGTCAGTGCTCTTGTATGGTTCAGAGACTTGGCGCGTCACGAAAGGGATTTCCAATAAACTACAGACATTCATCAACAACTGCTTACCCTGTCTCGCTACTGAAGATCAGATGGCCAGAAAAAATAAGCAACAAGGAACTCTGGGAACGAACCAACCAAGAACCTATCACGCAACAAATATGCAGGAAGAAGTGGAGATGGATTGGCCATGCACTGAGAAGGCCGACTGGAGACATCACGCGTCAGGCCAGGTACTCGAGTGGAATCCCCATGGGAAGCGACGAGTTGGACGTCCGAGGGTGACATGGAGGAGGTCGTGCGAGGAGGAAATGAGAGGTTGTGGGCTGTCGTGGGACCAGGTTCAAAAGATCTCAGAGAACAGAGGTCACTGGAGGCGTGCTACTGAAGCCCTATGTTCCACTAGGAACCCAAGGGACAAATAAAAATATAAATAAATAGATACTTACACCACACCAAACATAGGAAATAGACAACAGTGAAACTTTTCTATATTGGACTAGAGGATGATAGCGTCAAGTGTGTATCTTTGGGGGAGGTGGCTAAGCATCTGTTTGAACATGGTTGAATACTTGTTAGTGTGGTTATCATAGGATCTTGCAATTCTGGGCTCGACTCCTTGCGAGTCCTTAGTTGTGCGTACTGATGAGGAGTCATAGACTAGGGCGAAACAAATTTTAAGTGCTCAGGCATTTTCAATGTTTCTTAAGCTGACATCGTGTTGTAAATTGCTTTCAAACCAAGAAATTCCTGAAAACCAACAGTTGTTTCTCGAATTTAGTAGTATATCTTGAATGTAGACTATTCTTGTCGTTGTGTTAGTTTATAGTTTGAAATTTAAATATG